CAGCAGACTTATTTTGTTCTATATATGTCCTATAGACTTATTCATCCTTGTATACATCTATGTACCTTCCAACAGCACAGCAAACACTGCTACCATCTCTCATTCTCTCCAGAAAGAGATTTTGTGAGAAGTGCCAGGTTTCATGACAGTGTGTTTTCAGGGATTTTGTTAACGTACATACTCTTCTGTGTGCGTGTTGCGTTGAAGAAGGACAATGTGCACTTTGAGCAGAAGGGGGCGAGACTTGCTACTGTTTCCTGTGAGAGAGTGTGCCAAACTTGAGCCAGCCCATCTCCTGAGCAGGTAAGCTTTACCCTTGTGGCAGAAAGTTTCACCATGCCTAACAAGTATAGAGTTGGTGACCACAGTCTTCATTCCAGAACCTTAGGGGATCTTTTAGATCCAGCATATCCAGACTACTGAGCACCTTAAATGTAAAAGATTTGCACCCTGAATTTAAATCAATGTTTTACGAGAAGCCAATGTAAAAAGCTGTACTGCTGAGGATATATCTACAGGCATTCTGTATTAATTGGCGTTTTTTATGGCCTGATGGCTTCATGCCCAAAAAACTATCCTCATCTTATCTCAAAAGGTGACCGTTCAGATTATAACTGAGGAAAACACACAAGCAGCACAAAAGGGTTGCGCAAGAACCTCCTAGTAAGACCTACAAACATATTATCTTATCCTCTTTCATATCCCTCTAAAATTCAACCTCTACTGTGATACTTACCCAGACTTACTAGTTGATAATGGCCAAGCAAATAGCAAGATAAAATTTCTGCTTAATCTACTAAAATTTATTCACTTTGTATCGGGTCCTTCTTATGATCCATCTGAAATGCCCATTACATTTCATGATAATGTTAATTACGAGCTCTTGGTGATAGGTGCTGTCTCTCACTGAATGCCCATACGGCACAGATCCATTGCTGCAATACAGCCATCCCCAGTTACCAACATCATCCATGTGTATTTTCTGTGAAGAAAGGGCTGTGTTCTCCAAGACGCAATAGGTGGGTGCCCAATATGCACCAAACTCAGGCACAATTTAAGGAGAGAGAAAAAGAAACAGAACAAAAAACTTACTTCATAGTACCATTGAGAGACTGGCAAGTTGTGAGTGATGGCAAGCCAATTTCTATGTACTTCAAAATCTGTGGAATGACTGTAAAGAACATTTGCATTAGTGGTCTTTAAATCCATACTAGCCAATACAATACTTTCCAAAACATTTCATCATTTAAAGAAAAGAATAAAGAAACATCACTTTGTATTAGCTGCTTTGTCACTACAGCTTTGATGCAGCTTGCAGAAATGAGTCCAAAGAGGCAGGCAGAGTAGTAACAAGACACCACGAGTCACAGCTTGGTTTCTAAAATACTTTAGAGAAGGAGCACTAAAATCCAGTTATAGTTCAGTTTTTCTTGACAACAAGAGTCTTTTTTTGGAATGCCTGGTACTGAGAGGCTAAAAGTGAGGAATCAATTTATGCTACCAAATACCTTGAAAAACATAGGAATTAAAAAAAATGCATCAACACTACACTTCACTTTGATTAAATCTACTGCATGGAAAGACTCATTGCAACCAATATTCTTACTGTACAGGAAACCTGAAAATGAGAACACATCTCACTGGGAAAAAAGAGGACTCCTATTACTCGGTAATGCAAAAACCATTAGCCAAGATATCGGAAGATACTTGTTAGATGTTCTGATCTGAAATGGCTTTCTGCCAGATTAAAGTTACATCATAAATATTTAGAAGTTTTGGTTACATTAAGGGTGGATTGTCTTAAGGTTTGAGTTCTATAATAACAGATCAATAAATATTTTAGTTCCTTGTGATAAAAAACTGTCTAGCAATGTATTTAAAACATAAAATGAACCATCCCAGCAGAATCAAACAACCCATACATAAAAGAAAAAGGGAAAAAGCTTTAATGTGCCTTAAAACCAGGGCTAAGCATCACCAGGGATTCTGGTTTTCTCTGATTCAAAAAAGGTCTCCAGGTTTCAGTTAAAAAGAGTAACCTCAAATCCACATTTTTATGTGATTTTAAAATAAAACACCTACACACACACATGCACAACTTAAAAATATAATTGTTTAAAAGATT